GATGTTGTTGTTGTTGTTGTTGTTGTTGTTGTTGTTGTTGTTGTTGTTGTTGTTATTGTTGTTGATGTTGTTGTTGTTGTTATTGTTGTTGTTGTTGTGGCAGTTAGAGAGAGGGGGAGGGAGAAACATAAACTGTTGCAGACGTTTAGGCCCACCACCTTAGCCCCGTCATTAACAGACTCCCGATTGTACAGATTCCGTGCCTGGCACACTTGTAGTGTCTTTGACAGAATCCGAGCCTGACACACATCTCCTGTCTTTGACAGATTCCGTGCCTGTCATGTTTTTGACACGGTACGTGGTCCTCATCTCAGGACACCAAGTGGAGAGCAAATCTTTGGGAGGACCAGCATTGAAACCTGGCACAGATTTGAACCTGTACCATTTGTGTCACTGTCAGGTTAATTTTCAACGGACACATAACCACTGCATTTTGCATGCGTTGAAGCCATATGAATCTACAGCTGGCTTTAATGTTTTACGGGTTGTTTTAATTATCTTTACGTTCTCGTCACCAGGGGAGACACGAACTGAGGTTCGATTTGAGATTCCAAGGAAAAAACTACTACGCCAGCTACGACAACTTTTCGCTGTCTGGAGAAACAGACAACTATAGGATTCAGATTTCTGGTTTTTCCGGTAATGTAAGGGACAACATGGCTAAGCACAACGGTCAGCAGTTCTCAACCAAGGATCGTGACAACGACGTATGGGACAAGAACTGCGCCAGTGTGTTCCACGGAGCTTGGTGGTACAAAAACTGCCATTCCGTGAACCTCAACGGACTGTGGGCCAGCACAGAGAACGCGAAAGGGTTGGGGTGGCAAAGTGTAACAGGTGGCTCAGTTTCCTTCAGTGAGATGAAGATTCGACCATTCGCAAAGTGACAGCTTCACGAGAATGAATAGCCCTGCTGAACATAATTATACCTAGATGTTTGCGTGTCCGTTTCTTGTTGTTTGTTTTTTGTATAACACTGTGTGAACTACATTGACAGAATTAGGAAAATGTCAAAAGTCTTAGACGTGTTAAATTTCGTTTGTACCATCGAGGCAGGTCATTTATTGACGTGTTAAAGATAAAACAGCCACTGATAGAGATACTGAACCTTATCAATTTGCATTGCACAGTATTAAAAGTATCGCGAGCCAAACATTTCTTTTTTTTTAATTTTGTTACATAAACACACGTTCGAACCCTTGCACAAATTAATATGTATGCACATTTACACGGACACATACACGCGCACACAAGTATTCACTTACAACTCCCTCATGTTCTTTCCCTCACACAAAAGTCTTCACTTATCTTACAACTCTCTCATGTTCTTTCCCTCACACAAAAGTCTTCACTCACAATTCTCTCCTGTTCTTCCCCTCTCACATCGTCTGACTGTACAAAGGGAGAGCATTGGTCTAACTACAGTGACAGGCCGGAAGTACAGTGTACAGTAAGCTATCATCGACGGAGATAGACCAATCAAAATGCTTTGTGCCTCTGGACTAAGTAAACGAAATCTTGGGGGTTACTGTTATAACCCATAATTTGATATAAGGCAGTTAGATTTGAAATTTCCTTGAAAATAATTGATTTGCAACAATTTTAATGACTACGTGTGGTCTGCATCAAACAATACGCAGTTTGATCCCCAAAGCAGTGCATCCGTGTGCGGGAGTACATCTTCGAATAGTTCCTGGGTGCTCGCCGGAGGCGTCTCCGAACATCTTCTGCCATCTGTAACAGTTCGTTCTACATCTTTTCCTTTAGCAAAAAGGTGTGGAAATGGACACATACTTTTGCTGTTGTTGTGACATTGGACATCGAATGTAGTTGTGCACATACAATCAGATAGAACCCTCTTTGATAAACCCCGATAGTTTTGGCATGAGACAAACCTTGTTGAAAACGAAAGTACGACATGTAATCTTAAAGTAATCATTCTGATAATGCTGGGAATTTCTGAGCGTGTTCTGGTTCTCGGCCTCTACTGTCTGCGGGTCGGTACCGCTAGATTTGGTCTACAGAGGCTGGACCTCACTCGCCATCTACGGACACTTTGTTACTGGGTTCGGTAATAATAATGATAATGAATAATGATAATAATAATGAATAATGATAATAATAATAATAATAATAATGATAATAGCAGTAGCAGTAGCAGTAGCAGTAGCAGTAGTAGTAGTAGTAGTAGTAGTAGTAGTAGTAGTAGTAGTAGTAGTAGTCGTAGTAGTAGTCGTAGTAGTAGTCGTAGTAGTAGTCGTAAAAGTAGTCGTAAAAGTAGTCGTAGTCGTAGTAGTAGTAGTGGTGGTAGTAGTAGTAGTGGTAGTAGTAGTAGTAGTAGTAGTAGTAGAAGTAGTTGTAGTAGTAGTAGTAGTAGTAGTAGTAGTAGTAGTAGTAGTAGTAGTAGTAGTAGTAGTAGTAGTAGTATAGTAGAAGATAATAATAATAAACAGCATTTATATAGCACATACACCGGCAAGACAGCAAGCTCTGCGTACTTTATACTACAATATTATTACCCCAGCAGACACTTTAACACTCAGAAATATTCTCGGCTGCCAGGGGCATACAAAACAAGCAGCCGATTAAACTCTCAAACACTGACAAACTGGCAGGATCTTTCGATTGTGTGTAGTTGGGTACGCATTCTCATCTGAGTAAAGTGAGGAAAAATCGTGCAAAAAATCGAGCAAGGTGCTTTTGCCAAGAACACGACGTCGGGTCCCTGACGAAATTCGAACCCACGATCTTATGATTTCGAGTCCGAGAGCCTAACCACTAGGCCACCGGTACAGTTTGCAGTATTGTTTCTGGTTTTCTGATCACGTCAGGACCTACATTTATACAGAAGAAAAAACCGCGACACCGGGCCATATGAGGGCAACATACTACATGTATATCGGTTATAGATTTTTAAGTCCAAATAAAAGTTTGAAATGCATTCTAAAAATTCCTAATTGTGTTAAATGTTTGAACTGTCCACTCATGTGTTGTATAAATTTAAAACTAAACATAAAATTTGCCTCATCTGATACATTTCTATGTATACATCCACGATAAGCATCGTCCAAGATACTATCACTCCGAATTAATCTTTGAACTATCAGTTTTGGCAAAATATTATGAAATCAAAGAAACTTGAAAACATGTTTCTGCTTTTGATGGGTGTACGCTTCTTCAACACACACGCGCGCGCACGCACACACACACACACACACACACACACACACACACACACACACACACACACATACCCAAGCACAGATACACAAACACGCACACATGCATACACGACACACACAAACACACGCACATACAATCATATACACAA